GTGCGCCGACGCGTCGATCATCGCAGACGCGCTGCGAGCCTTCGTGGCCGAGGACTGGCTCACGTACGGGAGCGAGCCTGGCAAGGACAAATTCAACGAGACGTGCATCGACGAAATCCATCGGCACGCGAAGGCTCGTCTTCGTCGTCGTCGTCGACGCGGCCGCCCGTCGCGTCGCCGTCGGGGGAGGGGGAGGGGGGCGGAGGATGGACGAGGAGAAGGACGAGGATAGGAAGGATGAGGAGGAGGAGGACGAGGACAAGGAGGAGGAGGAGGAGGAGGAGGAGGGAAGAGGAGGAGGAGGAGAAGGTGGAGGAGGAGGAGGAGGAGAAGGAGAGGGAAGAGGAGGAGGAGGAGGAGGAACGATGATGACGACGACGATGACGTCAACGCCGAGTGGACGATAGACCGACCGACCGACTGGCTCCTCCTCCTCCTCCTCCTCATTCTCCTGATCCACCCTGCGCCTCCTCCTCCTCCTCCTCCTCCTCCTCCTCCTCCTCCTCCTCGATTCTCATCCTCCTTATCCTCATCCCCTCTCCCTCTCTCTCCCTCCCTCTCCCTCCCCCCCTCCTCTTCGTGACGGTGATGGCGACGACGGCTAGTTTGAGACCCGAGGCGATTGCGGCGCTCGAGGCGATCTCGCCAAATCTCAGCCTCACGAAGGAGGCGTGCCATCAGGCATTCAAGCAATCGGCGACGCTTCGCGTACCACCGCCAGCCCATCCAGAAACGATGCCGACGTGGGAGAGGGCAAGGAAGGGTAAGGGGTAAGGCAGGGTAAGGGGTAAGGCAGGGTAAGGGCCCACGGGGCACCCCCCACCTCTGGACTGACATCTCACGCCCGTGGGACACCCCCCCACCTCTGGATTCTCGAAGGGGGCGGGTGCGGAAGAGAAATGTAACTTAACGCGCACTTGCGCCTGGATGGCGTGGCGGACTGATGGGCTCGATTGACAGCTTGAGCCGACTCTCTGACGGGCAGAAGGACGACTGGGCCGCCAAGCAGTCTCTCATGTTCTTCAGGGCATCGAACTAGAGCAGGAGAACGACGAAGAGGGGGATGATGATGAGGACGAGGAGGAGGGTGAGGATGAGGAGGGGGACCAGGAGGAGGAGGAGGAGGAGGAGGAGGAGGAGGAGGAGGAAGACGAGGAGGAGGAGAAGGAGCAGAAGGAGGAGGAGGATGGGGGAGGGGGAGGACGAGGAGGAGGAATGCGCGGAGGAGGAGGAAGAGGAGGAGGAGGAGGAGGAGGAGGAGAACACTGAGGGAGAGGACGGGCACGCATGACTTGAGCCATGGACGAGGGTCGGGGGTGGGCCGAGCCAAGGACGAGGTTGGAGGACGACCAGGGCCGCGAACGCGCGGCGTCAACGCCCGCGATCGCTGATCCGACGATCGTCTTCCCCCCATCCTCTGCGCTGCGCGCCCCAGGCTCCGCAGCATGATGCGCCACCTCTACGACCCGTTGCGGCGCGAGCGCCAGGAGGGCAAGGTCCCGCAGTGGCTCAGCAAGCTTCGCGAGAAGCAAGGCATAGCGCGGGCGGCGCCCTCGACCAGGCCATCGCCCGCATCTGCGGCATCCGCCGCCTCTGACTACGCGGTGACGTGCGACGCGGCGTCGGGCACCGCCTTCAGGAAGGTCAAGGGCAAGAAGGCTGAGCCGACGAACGTGTTCGAGTGCAAGCCGACCGCCAAGGGTCACCATTTCATGGCGGCGAAGTGGGGCGACGGCTACTCCTCGGAGATCTCGTCCTTGACCGTCGCCGCGTGGAGGAGCCGTGAGAAGCAGGCCGCCTCCAGCGGAAAGCGGTGCCTCAAGCTTTTCTCTGGGAAGATGGATGGCGGCGCGACGGTCTCGGCGGAGAAGAAGAAGCTTGACCCCAATAACCCTGGCGTGATAATAAAGGTGAACGGCTCCCAGAAGGTGCAGCTCAGCTTCAACTACGTGCCAGAGGCGGTGGCATGCGCTCAGGCCGTGGCGTGGGCCAAGGGCGCATTGGCTGGCAGGTGCGACTACGACAACGACCTGAAGCCGATGAAGGAGAAGCTTCAACGGTCACATGCCTCGCATGCCGCGACTGCAGGCTTGAAGCGTCCAGCTGCAAGCACCGCCATCGAGCACAAGAAGCCGCGGCCTGCCGCGGCCGCCCCGCTCGAGCAGGAGGGGGGGGGGGGGGGTCCGGCGCCGAGGAGGGAGGCGAAGAGGGGCCACAAGCTGACCCTGATCACGAAGTTGACCCTGATGCACCTCGCGAACGACCCCCTCGGTTGCTCGGCCCAGACTCGCCATCGCAGGAGAAGGGCGAGGACAGCAGCACCAGTGGCTCTGACAGCGACGGAGCGAACGAGGATGGCGAGGAGGATGCCGAGAAGGGGGGGGCCATCAACAGTCCAGCCGCCGCCGCGGCGAGCACCCTGAAGAGGCCAGCTCCTGTGATTGCCGAGCAGAGCGTCGACATCGCGCAGATTGTCGCGAAGAAGCCGTCGGCCAACGACGCGCCGCGTGCCGTTGCGCAATTGAGCTCGCCACAGTCTGGCCTGTTTTCTGCGTTTTCACGCTTCTCATCTAGTGCTGACCTGCGCGTGTGATGCAGCGAAGGCGCTGCCTTGCGACAGATGTCCGCAGCTCGGCCACGCCGCATCGCTGTGGAGGAGGGCCTTCAAGAAGGGAACGAGCGAACATGAGAGATGAAGGAGGCAAAGAGGAGCAGGAGGAGGAGGATGGTGGAGATTGTGGGGGGTGATGGTGATGATGATGATGATGATGATGACGATGATGATGATGATGATGATGATGATGACGATGATGATGATGATGATGAGGTGGAGGAGGGGGAGGGGGAGGGAGAGGAGGAGGAGAAGGAGGAGGAGGAGGCGGAGGAGGAGGAGGAGGAGGGACAGGAGGAGGAGAAGGATGCATGCGATGCCAGAGAAGACATCGAGATATTTGCACGAACTGCTCGGTACTGCAGCTAGGCGCTCGATTGCACTGGCGCGTGGCGAAAGGTGGCTCCGCGCGCCATCATCTCTCAATCCATCTTCCCCTCTTCCTCCTCCTCCTTATCCTGCTCCTCCTCCCCCTGCTCCTCCTCCTCCTGATGCTCCTCCTCCTCCTCGTCGTCCTCCTCCCCCCTTCCTCATCCCCCTCCTTCTCCTCCTCCACCTCCCCCGCGCTCCTATTGCCGCTTGGCGTCAGAATGGGGCGGGAGGTCGAGGTGGCGCGGGGTGCCAGGGGGGGGAGGGATGGGCGGCGCGGGAGGGGAGCCGAGGGATGGAGAGTGCGACGAGGGATGGATGGATGGAGGGAAGACGAAGGGAGGAGGTGGGAGCGCGGGGTAGAGAGGGAGGGGCGGGGCGCCTGCTCGTACTCGCTGAGCGGAAGGTCGAGCGACCTTAGTCGTCGAAAAGGTTCGTCGACGTCGTCGTCGTTGCCGCCGCGGTGGATGGGATGGGAGATGATGATGAGGAGGGGGGGGATGAGGAGGAGTATGAGTAGGAGGAGGAGGAAGAGGAGTAGTAGTAGTAGGAGGAGGAGGATGAGAAGGAGGAGGAGGAGGAGGAGGAGGAGGCTGAGCAGGAGCAGGAGCAGGAGCAGGATAAGGAAGAGGAGGAGGAGGCGGCAATCGATGACACAGCGCACGGGCACGTTCAGCCGCCCCCCCCCCCCCGCGCCGCAGGCGGAGCCGCTGCTGCAGCTGCCGAGGATACGCTGGAGGACAGCGCGCGCCAGTTCGGAGGCCGCGGGCCCGCCCCCTCCCCCTAGACCCCCTCTGAAACTCAACCTCATGGAGTTCGCTCTCCTCCTCCTCCTCCTCCTCCACCTCCTCCTCCTCCGCCGCGCCATCGTCCTCCTCCTCCTCCTCCTCCTCCTCCTCATCCGCC